GGAGCAAAGCCCCTCTCCTGCCCCCAGAACCCGCCCCCCCATCAAACCATGACACTCGCCCATGTACTGGGTGACGGAGACGTAGCAGCGGCAGTCGTCCCAGAACTGAGATGTGGAGAACTTGGCCCATAGGACGCAGGTGGCTCCTGTGGGGACATGATGGAGTGATGGTTACCCCTCTTCTTTTCTCTCTTTCTTTCTTTTTTTTTCTCCATCCATCCATCCATCCATCCATCCATCCATCTCCGTAAAACGTCCCTCTTTTTATATGAAACATCCATATGTCCATCTCTTTAAAACATCCATTTCCATAACACATCCATCTGTCCAGTTCCATAAACCATCCAGCTCCATAAACCATCTGTCCATCCATGTAAAATATCCACCCATCCATCTCTCCATCCCTCACCCATCTATGGACATGGCTTCCCCCTCTCCCTTCTTCCTTTCCCCTCCCTTCTTCCTTTCCGCTCTCTCCACACATTTCATCTGTCCATCTATCCATCCATTCGTCCATCTGCCCTTCCATCCATCCATCTCTTCATCCATCCGTCTCCACCACCTCTCTCTACTTGTCCTGCCTAAAACCCCTACCTACACTGGCCAGGCCATATGGGGCATGGGGGTACGTACAGACCTCAAAGCACTCTCCCACCCTGATGAGCAGCCCAACCGAGTGGGAGAGTGGCAATGCTGTGTAGATGACGTCTTTGGCCTGCAGGCCACAGAGCTGGCCCATGTTGGCCACAGCCATCAACTTCCTCTCTGTGATCACCACTGCCTTGGGCAGCCCTGGGGGTTGGGAGCAGAGGGTGGGAAATGTCCTCCTTGGAGGTGATCCTGTGGGATGGAAGGTCTTGGGGATGGGGGATGGCATGGGAGGGTGAAACCCTTCCCTCAAGATGGTGGATCTCCATCCCTAGAGGTCTTCCAGACCTTGTTGGGAGGAGCCGTGAGGAACTTCATCTAGATGTGCCTGTGTTGGGTGGAGTGGGATCTGGGTTGGGTTCAGGGTTAGATGAGGGAGGTCTCACCCCACCCCTCCCCATCCCAACGAGTGTAGACCCAGGGCTGTGGTGGGTCTCTGTTCTTGGAGATACCCAACCCTTGCATGGATGCAGCCAGGAGGAACCTGGTCGAGGTGGACCCACAATGGTCAGGGTTGGAAAAAGGTCTCCATGAGACCCCTCTGACCTTCCCAAATTCACCTGCACCACCTTGCTCACCCAACCCACGGGGGACCACCCCCTTTGGGTTCTCACCCCTTGCCCCCAAACCCTCCCAGTCGCTGTTCTCTAAGGAGCAGACCCTTCTGCCTTTGGTCTTCCTGCCCCCATGACCTCACCAGTGGTACTGGAGGTGTAGATGTACATGGCCTTGGAGTTGGTGGTGACGCTGGCGCGGTAGTGGGCAGTAAGAGGCTCATCGGAGGCTGCCTCAATGGTGGCAGCAGGGCCTCAACACCCAGCGTGGGCGATATGGAGCTCAGGTAGAAGACACGGATGCCGTCACGCTGAAGGGCCGGCAGCACCTCCTCCACAACGGTGATCTGCAGTGGGATGGGAAAAGGGGGACACTGCCCTGGTGGGGGTCCCCGGATGGATGAGCATCCAAGTGGGGAAGCCAAAGGGTCAAGGATGGGTGCCCCCTGGACCTCAAATGGGCACCTCAGTCAGGTGGGCACCCCAGGTGGGAGGGACGGGTGACCCAAGGATCCCAGATGGGCACCCAATGCACCCTGAATGGGCACCCCCATCAGGTGGGCACCTGATCATGCATGGGTGCCCCAAAGATCCCAGATGGGCATCCAATGCACCCCAAATCGCCACCCCAACCCAACAGACACCCATGGGTGTCCCAAAGATGCATCCCCAGGATCCCAGATGGGTTTCAAATCCCCCCAGAAGGGCTCCCCAATCCCCCCGGAGAGGGACCCAGCACACCCCTCAAGGGTGCCCTGATCCTGTGGGTGCCCCCAGCACCCCAAGGGGCACCCTGTGACCCCCCCAGGGTCCCGGCGGGTGCAGCTGCTTCCCGCCCCGATATTGTGGTTATTTTCTCTCTCCTTCCCCAAACCCATGAAAAATAAGGCTCTTGAGGCTGGTGATGATTAACTCGCGGCCTCGGCACGGTCAGCACACGCCAACACATGCACCGGCGGGCGGAAGGGGTCACACATGTGTGTGAGGGGCCATGGCGAGGGGAGGGAAATATGGCCCCGACATCACCGACCTCTCGCACGTGCAGGGCAAAATGCCTGTGCATGGATTTACACGCATGTCAGTGTGTGTGCGTGTGGCTGCACACATGTCAGTGTGTGTACGTGTGGCTGCATGCGTGTCAGTGTCTGTGCATGGCTCTGCATGTGTGTCAGTGTGTGTGCATGTCTCTGCACACGTGTCAGTGCCTCTGCATGGATTTGCATGTGTGTCTGCCTGTACATTTTGCACGTGTCAGTGTCTGTGCATGGATTTGCACACGTGTCAATGCCTGTGCATATGTATGCACGCGTGTCAGTGCCGCAGATGTGCGTGCAGAGACATGTATGGACACTGGCATGCGTGTGGAAGCATGCACAGACACTGATGTGTGGGCAAATGCACACATCGAAACAAACGCACATGGAAATGCACGTATGCACACCAACATGCATGGGCACTGACACATGTGCAGACACATGTACAGGCACTGACATGTGTGCAGGCACATGCACAGACACTGATACGTGCAAATCCATGCACAGGCACTGACACACGTGCACCTACCTGCGCCGCCACTGACACCCATGCCGACCCATTCACAAGCATCGACACGCACTGGCACCACCTCCCCCTCTCCCCCCTGCTCTGGCAATCCTGCACACGTGTGTGTGTGCACCGCACACCTATAGTGGAACCCCCAATCAGCACCGGCGGGGGCAGGAAAGCCCCTGCCT